AAGTGGCAATATCATACAAAGAAGCTAATGGTGGTGGAAGCATTCTTTTTCGCCTCATATCTTCGTCGTCGGCTCCGAAAACATCATATATATAGGCCCATCGTTTCAATAGCAACGACAACGATAGGTCCACAAATTACAATCGTATAGAAAAAGATTAAGAATTTATGCGCCGTACAGTTCAACAGAACGCTAGTTCTACCCTCCCTTTCCCAAAAACGCGGCTATTAGAACCCAAATAGCATACAGTAAGTATGTGTGATGTCTAAAATACAAGCGGGGGTTCCGGGAGACGACAAAAAAATTATTACTGATATTCACGACAGGGTGGCGCTTTTTTCCTTTGTCTGTCTCGAATTAAGGGATACTGGCGGGCATGAAACGTAAACTTCTCCGACAAAGCTGATATCGAGGTCATTAGCTTATTAGAAACATTGTAGTGTATGCCTCTGAACCTTGTGGCGTTTTTGATTCGTTTTGCACTTTTCAGGCGACAATTTGGCGCTGTTGCGCCCACCAACGTAAGACTTTGAATTTAGGGAGAACGGAGTAGTAAAGAAAGAACATTTAGCAAAAGAAACGATGTTACAGGTGACATTCAACTTCATGATACGAAGCTAAAAAGTGACACTCCACATTTCGAGACTGCAAGTGCTACATTAAGCTTTTAAATGATCTGACATCCCAATTAGGTTTGTCTAGTGAGTCCACATACAATACTGATGTTTTATTCATCAGTGTAGTATTGAAAAAACGCGGTCATGTTGCATCGTGAATATAATTACGCAGACCCCAACACTGTCAAAGTTTTGAAGCAGGCAGAATTCACCTTGACAACAAATGCCGCCAATCAGATTCAAAACGTGATTTAAAAAAAAAGAAAAAAAGAAAGGAATCTCTTGGGGAGGGGGATTACTGAAGTTACTTCTATTTTTTTTTAGGGGTAGGGGTTCATTGGAATATTATGCTTAAAGGGAAACAAAGACCAAATCCCATGACAAAATGCATTCGATTTACTAATAACATGTGCAAATGTTCAAAATTACTGAGCTTGAAATTTATATTTGAACTTAATATAGAAGCAATATGTTTTAAGCCGAACAATTTTAACTCCAATCAGCTTACTAGARCTTGATTAAGTTTCTCGGCTTGTGCAAAATGAAATTTRTTTTYCCACTTTATTCTTTGACGTTTCTATTAGAGGGCATGATAACACTTGTCAGTTGTCGTCATATGCAGTATTCATAACGACAATGTTTTTGCTTGGTTATCCAAAATCATCGCTAAACGTCACTCAAGTTAATTAAGTTGGTAAACAATAACCTCAAATACAGTATTCCAGTTTGGTCAGTGTATTATTTATTTATATAAGGATTTCTTTTGAAATGGGCTTTTGAGCTGAAGAATTATTATTAACAATACAATTTTAGACTGCTTCAGAAGTGAGACACGAAATATACCACCTATAATTTATTAGTTTGTCTTTTTAGTAAAGTAAAATAGGAAAAGGATCGTAACTAAATAGGTGGGCTGATTTGCCCGGAACCGGGATGTTTTCAATCTATTTTGACAGTGAAATCAGCGGAAAATCCTCATCATTAAAAATGGAAACAAACATTAATACCAAGTCCCTCGATAAAAGCGGTTTATCGGCTTTATCTTATTCTTCGATAATTAACTCTCCACAATCATTATATTATTTTTTTACATTTCTGGTTTTTTTTCGGCAGTTTTGTCTAATAAAATTATGATTCTTTTGTAGACGTTTAATTAAATGATATCAATATTGAATTTAAGGTCAGGCAATTCAAATATGATTAAAATTCAGATCATAGATTTAGTTAAGCCAGTTAAAGTTAATTCTATAAGTTTTAATTTGTTTTTGAAGAATCTATGGGTTTTATATAATCGGTGTTTTTAATACTTTTCATGTTCCGCTGTTTCTATTTTTAATTAAAATTAAAATAAGAATTAAAATTCGTTTCTTCATGRTGCTCAYYATTCGCACCGTTTATCGTTTTTATGGCTCTTCTTGTCATGATTTATATTAAGAATTTATTTTTTTTATGTAACAGTCTAGTATTTTTACTTCGATTCATGGTTTAGAAGACGTTTCTGTCTCTTAGGTCACAGACCATCTTGAGTATCTTAAGTACCATTTAGATGATAATACTGACTGGGATTTTTTTTAAGCTGCATACATTCATCTATTCCTTTTTGTTTTGTTTATTTTTTAATTTTTTCATTCGTAAAGTCATCCATTTGATTTAGGTYATTGATTGATTCGGTAACTGAAGGACGGACGCACTGACGRAGTGATTGACGGCGMACTATCTGAGTGACTGATTGATAGATAGATTGATTGATTCCAATCCTTTTGTCCAATGAATAGTTTTTATCTCTAATATTTTATCTGTATCTAACTTCCATAGTCTTAGTCTTCGACATCGTTCTGTTTTTGTTTTTTGTTTAGTTTAGTTTAGTTTTTTTTGCGCTTGTGTGTGCGTGCATGTGTTAAGTCCTTGAACTGAGTCCAATATTATCCAAATTTTATCCCTCTTATATTCTGCTAACGTCAGTGTTGCTCTTTCGATGCTCTTTTATGGAACAATCGAGAATCTAAGCGTATTTTTGGCGTCAAGGCGACAATTGCCACCATAGCCATTAGTACACCTTCCTTTCAATATACAACACTTGTAATGCGCTCAGCGGTACGCTCGTTTAAATTTCTTATCATCAAATAAATAAGTGCATTTTATCACACTCGCTTATTGTGAAGCTTAAGAATTGATTCGTAAACTCTCGATCAACTTTATGAAATCAGCCAATCGCTAACTACTAACCAGCTTGTGGCAGATAGATAACGGATTCAATGCTTCCGAACTTCAACAATTCATTGTCGTGAAGATTTATGAAGATACTGTGAGAAACACAGGGAAAAACACCACGTATATTTTACAAAGGATATGAACGCTGGAGACAAAAATCGCTCGCTGTTCGTTTTTCTTTTTGTATAACTGAACTTTCCATTAAACCGAGGCCGATGCAAGTCGCGTTGAGTCAGCCAATCAATACGCGTCCCTTGTTGACATAGAAGCTTGCAGATGGTGTACGAACGGAGCAGAGTAATAACTAAACAGACTTTCTAATTGTATTCGTCTCTAAGCTGCTAGTTCAGTATAGAAACAGGTTGCGAGTTAGTCGTCAATTTGTTTTCTCAGATGTTTAAAACTGAAGACAGGAAAAAAAAAAACATCTTAAAAGGATAATTTTAATCTTTTGTTCACGGAAAGTGTGGCTGAGGATATCGGAAACATCGACGTACGATTGTTCGGAAAGTAAAAGATGTTTTCTTTCAAGTTAAGTGAAAGCAAACGACAGTTATAATGGATTCGCGATGGATATCGTTCGTATTTCTGTTCTTTATTATCAAGACATCTTGGAGCTTAGTCATTGCACCTTGTCGCTCGATCGGTAAGTAATTGAGCAACCATGCACCAAAAACCCATGAAAACGCACGCTATAACGCATCTGATACATTACAAATGTTCATCCTCAAGAGTTTTAATTCCCAAAAACCATCTGGTGGGCTAAAGAAAGAAAAAAAGTATATAAACCATATTACAGTCTTTAGTAGTTCAAGATAATTTCAAAAATTCAGAAATTCTGATAATTATCTTTATTCTCGTTGCATGTGAAAATAAATCTTGGAGTAAATTGCAGCGAAATACTATATAAGTCTTTTCTCCTCTTCAGGTTTCCACATCGGTAGTTTAATGCTTCGATGTTAGAGATATTTATATTTATTACAGGGTTTTTTTATGACAGTTGCTGCCATCTTGGGAAGGCATTCCTCCTACTGTGTCTTCCAAAAATTCAAATGTAACTAAAACAAAGTCACTATATGAGTCTTGGTTTGTTTTAACTAAACTGTTGTTTTGAGGTACATAGTAAGCTATCGCAATTGTTTTCTGGTAAGATCTTCGTATTTCATAATGTAGTTGGCGAAAGCCAAGTTTTGCTCACCGATGATTAGAGAACGGAGTTAAACGATGCAGACAACCTCAATTCGAAACTGTTATCTGTTATGTTAAATTCCCTGGGTTACACGCGAATGTATTATTTTATTTATTATATGTTTTGCTTCAACACATACCAAGATGATATGAATGTATTGAAAAGAGATGTTTATGTGCAAAGCCAATACCATACAGAATACAGTTCGAAATTCACTTCCTTTAGTTGGACTGTATTTTAATTACCCTAATGTTGTTGTCGATAATCGTTATGACTCTCCTTCGCATGTAATATACAGGATGTGTGTATAAACGAGATAAAAGCACCTGACCAATTTGGTTTAATTTTGTCATCCTTGATGCCTTTCTAACCTTTAATAATTGCTATCTTTAGATTCTTTGTATATCGGCTGTTATTCTGAAAATCCTTCTGATAGAGAGTTCCTGGTCTCGGCTGGAAACTACAATTCAAGCGAGCTCTATCCTGGGCTATGTGTAGGCATATGTGGATTTCTATCATTTAAGTACTCCGCTTTGCAAAATGGATATCGTTGCTTATGTGGAAATACCTTTGGCCGTCATGGACAGCTTAGCGGCTGCAATATCTCTTGCCCT